AGCAGCCCAAAGCTTGGACCATCAAAAGAGGTTGCGAAGGGCTGTAGGCTTTGACTCTCAGCTACTTCTCCCTAAACCCTAAACCTCCCTAAAACCCTAAACCCTCAACCCTAAAACCCTACACCCTAGACCCTAAACCCTAAAACCCTAAACCCTAAAACCCTGAACCCTAAAACCCCAGAACCCTAAAACCCTAAACCCCAAACCCTAAACCCTAGAACCCTAAACCCTAAACCTCGCTGAGATGGGCTGGCCTTTGGGGGAAGAAGCGCTTTGGGAACGCTTGGGCAGTTGTTGGCTTCTGGTAGCAGCTCTGGGTTCAGGTCTACTTAAAGGATCCTGGGACTTAGTAAGTAGGGTTTAGGGTTTATGGTTTAGGGTTTCAGGTTTTAGGGTTTTACGGTTTGGGGTTTAGGGCTTTAGGGTTTCAGGGGTTTAGGGGTTTAGGGTTTAGGGTTTTGGGGGTACTTAAAGGATCATGGGACTGAGTAAGTAGGGTTATAACTAAGGTAACTATACTTATAACCCCAATTAGGGGACTTATAACCTTACTTACTAAGTCCCATGATCCTCCAAGTAATGTAGGTGCCTGGAATCCTGGAATAGGGTTTTGGATTTGAGGGTTCAGGGTTTGGGGTTTAAGGTTTAAGGGTTTAGGGTAGGGGCCTTTAAAGATTAGAATAGGGTTTTGGGGAATAGTACACTGGAATTATAAACAGGACCCCCCCCCCCTCCCCTCTCACCCCCAAAACAAAAAGTATTGGTACTTATCTAGGTCCCTATGTTAGGGCTTTCGACCTTTCTGAGGGTTTCTTTCATTTGTCTGGGTATTTACAGCCCCAAACCCTAAGCCCAACTCTAAACCCTAAACCCTAAACCCCAAACCCGAAACCCTAAACCCCAAACCCTGAACCCTAAACCACCCCCTTTTCCCCCCGCTTACCGCCTTGACCGGACCCTGCCTTGCAAGACCAAGCCTTCCCAAAGCCCAACACCTTCAGCCCCTAAACCCCGAAGACTACGATAGGGGCCTTAGTAATTAGAATAGGGTTTTGGGGTACATTCTGCTGTAGTTATAATCAGGAACCACCTAGATGGTATTTGTCATTGTTTCGGCCCAGAACCCGAAGAAGCTTCTCAGCAGACAGGTGGCTGTCAACGATTCGACGGCACACAGCATCGCAACTTTCCTGCGAGGCGCCAGCCAAATCTTCCATGCCGAACGTCTCTGGGCTTCTACTGTCATGGTATCGTTTCTACTTAATAAGCTCCTACGTAGGGTGATGCTCAGGCAGAAAAATGACTTACCACGTCCCATGAGACCGTAAGTACTGGGCCTGCAGGCTGTGTCTTCGAATAGGACCTCGTCTTTCAAGATGAGAGGCGGGAAATCATCTCCGATTAGCCCTAAACCCTACAACCCTAAACGCTAAAATCCTAAACCCTAAATGGCAGCTTCCAAGTAAGTCCCCGAGAACCCAAGGAATTTCACAGCCCAACGCCCGGACTCCGATCTTGCAGCCCTTCTCCGAAGCTTAGTGCTCTTTTGACAGAGGGCACCCCTATCCCTATCATATACATACGTACATACTTACATACATACATACATACATACATACATATATACAGACATACATGCAGACATATACATCTGTAAGTTTTTCGGATGGCCCCATGCATTTGCCTGTGGGGACCTACCGGCACTAGACCTACAAGCCGCTCACCGTAATGTAGGTGCCTCAATAATTAGAATAGGGTTTTGTGGGTTCCTCATTATAACATAGTATAATGTACCCCCCCATAGACACAGTTACTAAGCTGACTTCTGAACCCCTCCTAAAAACGAAACTTTTGGCCTCCTTGTAAAAGGGGCTTCTGTGAAGGTTCGCCAGGGGTTTCAGTCTATGGGGGGTTGTCAAAATTATGGTCCCTTTTGGGGTACCCTAAATAATAGGTGCCGTATTATCATAGGACCCAAAAAGGGACCATAATTTTGACAACTACCCCTATGGTGCCCTTGCCACCCGACTCCCTGAGCTGCCACGACGCCTTTTTCACGAAACCCAAGCCCTCTTCCTTTGCCGCTTAGGGTTTAGGGTTTAGGGTTTAGGGTTTAGGGCCGTGGCCCTGTCAAGCCTCAGCTGCCCCGAATTTGTCACCTGAACGCCCGCCAGCCCCAAACCATGCCCGAACCCAAATCCGAACTAGAGATTCACTGGCTTGGAGTCCCGAAGTGGCGAAGACCGCAAAGAGGTTTCTTGCCTGCAGAGAGGGTGAGCTGAAAAGGTTTAGGGGTGCCGTACATGAGGGCTCAGTTTGGCGTGCTTGCTACGGGAATGACGTACCCTAATTGAGAGAATTACCCCTGTAGAAGCGCACACACTTGGTAAATGCTCTGCGGAGTATAGGCATATTCCGGGAGAAGTGCCGAGGACGTTCGAATTCAGGGACACGTTAGCTGGTAATATAGGGGCCTTATTAATCAGAAAAGGGTTTTGGGGGACATTTTACTCTAATTATTATTCTTGCCCCTACATCAGATTTTAGGGACATGTTAGCTGGTACGCGCGTATAATGATGGGGCAATGCTCAGCAGAAACGTCCCGGGTTCTGAGGACATAAAACTACGGTTGATGATATAAATCCTGCATTACTTTAAGGACCCTAAACTATGGGAATTATGGTATATTCCTTATTATGGGCACTGCAGGATATACATATATATATATATATATATATAGGGCTCAGATCGCCGGAAAAGCGCCGGAATACTGTAGCCCCAGGCGACAAAGTCGCCGCTTGACCCGCGCGCAGCCATAGGCATTCGTAGCCCGAACTGGCACCGTCAGCAGCGCAAGCAGCGCTCCAGGGCAAGGAACTCCTTCCGCTCAGGACGCCAGCTGTCAAGGCTGCAGTGTGTTAGACTTTGGATACACCACGGCTCAGGTATCCACATGAGCAAACAATGGCGTCGCGGAGGAGGAGGACAGCAACAGAATGGGCCTGGATACAAGTACTGGCGTGGATCTTGGTCACGACAGGATCCCTCCTTTCCATCGTACGACCAGGGTCGAGGTCAGAGATGGGAACGGGACACTCAGGAGCCCAGTGCGGCGGCTGGCCCAACATCCATGGTACAGCTCATACAGGATGTTCTCAACAAGACCAGGAAATGCGAGCAGAGAGTGACCTCTCTCCAACGTGCCAAAGAAGAGAGGGCCAAACTCTGGGACCGCTACGAGGCAGACCTGCAGAAATCCTACGCCAGGGAGTACAACAAGTTTACCAAAGATGTCCAAAAGCTGGACGAAGATTTGGGACGTGCAGTGCAGGCCCAAGAAGAGGCAAGACGAGAGCTACTGCATGTGCATGCAGGAGGAGCTCCTCGCGAGCCGGAGCCCCATGTTGCGAGGCTAGAGGGCCTACTTGCGGAGGGCAGAGGAGAGTGCCCTGGGCAAGATGCGCAGGATGTCCTGGACAGAGCAGTTCAGGCGGCCAGACAACAATGGGAGCAATCGGCGCGAGCCGCTGGAAGACACTTTGGGCCTGTGACAGGACCGAGTACACCCACCTTTGGCGTTGCACCTCCTGGCTTCGAGCCCAGGAACATGGACGTGGAGATGAAAGCGGACCCCCTGCTGTCCTTTGCCGGGAATACTCTCCCACATCCGCCGACGACCGACGATGCCGCCACATCCATGAACCCTGCTGGGTTGGGATATGCTGGGACGAGTGGGATACCGACCACCGGGCCGTACCAGGCATCCCCGGGCAGTATGTACGCAAAGGTGAAGCCCCCATCGCCCTGTGCCATACGAGGCAGGCCACGATCCTGGAGGCGTTGCAGAACCATCCTCCAGCGACCTACTTACGGAGAAATTGCAGGCGAAGCGAGCTCTGCTGCCATTCGGTGGAGGACAAAGGGAATCGACTGGGCTCATCCAGCCCATCCAGCCAGGGAAACCACCCATTTCGGTGGTCTACGACGACGAGCCCAGCGAAGAAGCAGTGAAGAAGGACAGGGCGCCAGACCCTGGAGACGAGCCGACGTGAAAAACGAACAGAGGCAATTTGGCCGGTCATGTTCACGGTCGTACCTCCATAGGAGGCTGGTCGGACGAGACACTGTTGAAACTCCTGGGGTTGAGTTTCCAGAGGTCGGGTCTCCGGTCGGTCAATCCTCGGGGTACGCCACCATGGACATGTACCGGCCAGATGGTGTGATAACAGTGAGGAGCGTTTCACCTGGTAGTGATTTTCCTCCTTGGATCTGCCGGCACCATTTCAGCCTGTACCCAGATGCTTCTTCGCCTGAGAAACATCGGCCTGAACACTCCTGGGTTTGTTGTGTCTCAGACTGGTGTTTTCTCCCGTCTTCCTCGCGGAAGGGCTCGGATCATGGGGCTTGTGATCTTGGACCCTTCCCCTCGCCGTTTGAAAACTTGTTCAGGACCTTGTTGCCCAGAGGCCTGCCAATTGCCCTACATTCCCAGGGCCTTCCGCCTGGGGTCCATCCTTTGAGCGACCAGTTTTGCTCCCTTTGGGAATCCGACAGTCGCCGATGCTTAGGGGCCGATTTGTCATTGCGAGGCTTCTTTGTCTCTGGAAGGGGAGCGCCAAACATGCGTATCGGTGGCTCTGGGACGCAGGCCCCTTTCCGAAGCCAAACCCTTGAAGATGATGTGTGGACACAGGTGAGAAGGCTTGGCACCACTTGGTGTGCGGCGCAATACCGTTCCCTTGCCGCCCCTTTGTGGTTCGTCGTTTTCTGCTCGTTGGTGTCCCACCTTGTCCACGGCGTCAAATCTTGCGGCCGTTTTTCTTGGCGACACGGACCCCACAGTCACCATATCCGGTTGTCCGTTGCTAAGCCGCTTGGCATGATTGGAACCCGGATGTCGATTTTGCAGTGGAATACCGATTGTCGCGCTGGCCGACAAAAGCAGTGCTCACTTTCCTGTGTGAGAAGGCTTATGTTCGCGCTCCTTCTATCCTTGAATATGCCGATTTGCGTGTGGGCCATTCCAGATGAAATTGATCCTGCGGACATCACGGCTTTAGCTAGTGTACTGCTGCTGGAACCACAATCCCCTGGTGATATCGACATGGGTCCAGCCTCGAACCCACTTTTCCCTGCGAAAGAGGTTGAAGAAAGTAACATGTCGCGGTTCTCCTCAACCATTGGAACAGCCATCATGGCAGCACACTTCCAAACCAGTTTTGTGGACTTAGAAGTCCCCTTCGGAGTGGGTCAGCCAGAGGTTCTACAGGCGATCAGGGATACTGCCGCCAGCATCCCCTTTGAGCTTTTCGATAGCATCTCTCCAGCTGAGCCAACCCCATACCGCGGAGTCGTGACCTACGTTGCTCACTCGAGCGCGCTTGATGGACTAGGGCAGGCTTCGGTCGTTATCAATCTCTTACCGACTGGGGGACCTGTCTTTGCGGCCACATTACCCGCGACACTTCGCTTCTCGGAATGGGCAAGATTCATGTGCCCAATGCTTCCAGCAGGCACATTTGAAGTCGACCTCTTCGTCGGCCACAACCGGACTCCGCATCCCGTTGATGAGCCGGTAAGACTCTCACACGGCACGGTCCTGACAGTTTGTGAGGTAGGCCATATGCACAGGCACTGCCCAACACAGGAAAGGTTGTTGAGGGACCCATGCCGCTGGAAAACCTCACATCATGCAGAGACAGGTATCACGCCGACCGGCTTCTGTCTTTTGTACAAGTCTCAACGGTGGTTTGTTGAGAGCGAGCCGTCCTCTCACGAACATTTACACGAGATCGCAGCGGACACTACTGGTCGTATCAGGAGCGAAACCCGACTTGAATTTGCTTCGCAGCCGCCAGTGAGCGACCTGTGCCTACACGGACGCAGATGTTGGGGTCTTGCTATGCTAGTTGACCTTCCCCCTCCGGTTGTGGCCAACACACCCCAGGCTGCGGGGTTCATAGTTTTCCTTGATTTCAGGCCGCTCGGAGTGAGGCCCTTCGGCTGGCTTCAGTACTCGCCTTCGTTGCACCTCCCCACGGTTCTCACTTCCTTAGATAAAGAATTGCCACAAGGAGTTGAGATCGAAGTTGTTGGCAAGGCTCGCAACGGCTACTATGTCGAGGTAACTGCAGGTGAGGTCCTAACATTTCAGGCTGTTCCAGACAGTGATTACAGCCTCCCTGATGCTAGTGCCATGTCAGACCACGTGTCGGAAGACCACAGCAGTTCCGAAGTGTCCTCTTGTGCCGACACTCCGCCTCAATCTCCTCCATCTGGTTCTGAGGAATCTGCAAGGAGCAGATCTAGCAGAGGAGCCAGAAACGCCATTGATGGAGGAATTGGGGAGATGCCAACCCTCGATGTTTTGCCGAGCGCCACTGATGAAATAGCGGCATTCGAGTCTCTACAGCCAGCTGTGCGCACTGCCGCGGATATCAATGCACTTGCCACCAGCCTGCACGTGTCTCCACCTGATCCTTCCTATGCAGATGCCGATGCACATAGAGCGGGCTGTATGTCGGTAGCGGACTTTGTCATCACGGACTGCACCTTCCAAATACACATCCCGCGGTATAGAAGCATCACTGTGAAGCACCGTCTTCGCCTGCCATGCATGGAGCAGCATGTTCTGGAAGAACTTGTCACTGCCTCTTCTGACAGGTTACCACCCTTCTTTGACCGACTCGTGCCGACGCAACCTCAGCTTGGCAGAGACTTCGGTTCACTGTTGTTGTTGCCGACCTGGCACAAACTGACAGGCAGGTGCACGGTCCTGTTTGACCTTCATCATCTCGGCGGGCCGATTTTTGCGCAGGTTGTCTCTGGTCCCGTCACCCATTGGCAATGCCGACAGATTGCCGAAAGGTTCAGCACAGGGCCATGGCAGCTCTATGTTGCAGGGGCAACGCGCCCCCACATCGGCACTGATGACTTTTATGTCGCTGATGGATGGGTACTTCAATTCAGGGCTGGGGGCACCCCACCACAGTGGTTCGCCTCTCTTGCGCCACGTTTCAGTGGACCTGTGCACTGGCCTGCTGAGCCGTCTGTTCCAGCCAGTGCGTCAGAGGATCTCATACTCGCGCTGCATGGTGACCGCCACACCATAATTGAGATCACAGCCTCAACCGAACAGAGTCTAGCGCAAAGGCTAGCTGACTTGGTCGACAGAGCGCAAGACTCGGCTCTCTTTGTATGCCCACTCGGGAGTCAACTTAGTGATGTATGCTCTGGAGGATGCAATTGCAGAGGGGTCGTTGCGATCCACCCCATCCGCGATAATCCCGAACGGAGCGGCAGACTCCTTTTCCTAGACGGCCGGCCAGCCAATGAAGGCATCATGTTCACCTACACCCATGATGTCGATGACCCGCTTTTGTATGCCGAATGGCTTGGACTTAGGTCGCCCACGCTGCATCACATCGTCTACGCCCGCGTGCCAAAAACCCAGCATGAAGAAGCGCCTGAAGGTACGGTCTTCATTTTTGGATATCTGCCAAATGCGGCACGAGATGACGAAAGCGCATCGCATACCGGCAGCAACTCCGTCCCTCCTGATGACAGCACAGGCCATCCGTCGGACGAAGCCGATGCCCGCCATGCACCTCCGCATACGACTGAGTCCAACTCAGACACAGGTACGGACAATACTGCTGGGCCAATTGCTCCCCAGGGGCAGTCCCAACCTCGCCAGTGCCCGCTTTCGGTGACACAACCCACCCATCATGCCACACATGATAGGCAGTGCAGTGCTTCACTACCGGCCAGTGGGCCTTTCACGGTTGCTCCTCCCAATTTGCCTACACGGAGGCTCTTTCTTGCGAGTTGTTCCATCTGCTCGGCCAGGATGCTCGACTTGTTTGGACCACTAGGCGCAGGTTTGAGGTCAAGCCCAAGGCTGCCGTTGTCGACACGATTTCGTGCCAGTTTCACTATGCCCGTGTTGTCGAAGACGAATTCCCGTCTACAAAGCCACGACACACACAGGCAAAACTGCTCTCTGAACCACAGGGAACGACGCCGGCAGCCAATCAGCACATTGCATGCCTTCGCACGCTTACCTATAGCCTCGGGGGCAGGTGGCTCCGAGACCCAGCGCCAGGTTGGATTGATGAAGTCATTGGGCCGGATTCATTGGACGAGACTTCTTCAGCCGAAGAAGAAGGTGAGATCTTCACCACCGTCGGTTGCATAATCCTCAAAGATGGATATTCGGCGGAAGTCGCCAGTATACTTGTTCGCCTTCCAGCCACGACTGAAGAAACCAGGAAATGCGTTGCGGCTGCCAGGCGTCGAGACCACAGCGATGCCTTTCCCGCCTTGCTTGATGTTTTGCCGCAACCAATCCCTGGGAACATAGTGTATTTAGCTGGCCCGCCTTGGGCTTCCGACCAACATGGCCACTGTTTCAACCTGACCCTCTTGGATGGTAGGCTGTTCACTGTGCACGCACCTGACTACATATCCAGGCACGAATTGGTCCTCCTTGCCCGTCTTTCACCTGACCGACAGGTAGACGTGTACATAGGAAGCGACGAGAACCCTCTCATAGGAGAGGTCCCGGTCCATCTATTCCCTGGCGTGCTGATTTCCTTCCTCCCCGCAGGTGCGGAACTGCCACCCTTGCCTACGCTTGGGGAACAACTCCTCTCCCGCAGTATGTGGTGTGCCGAGCCTTTTGTACCTGGGGTTGACGATCCCAACGCGTGTTGTATAGTCGATGGCAATTCTCACCACCTGCACTTCCATGATCCACAGCAGCCCCAGCGATACAGGGAACACATTGCAAGAGCGGTTGGGATCAACCTAGGCTTTCTGAACGTGCATGCCGCACGCCCAGCGCCACCGGACGTTGACCTATTCGGTTATAAGTGCCACAGTGTCCTTGCGACAGCAGACATTAGCCTCTCTGAGGGCGCCCGACATGACACGCTTGCTCTCCTCGATTGCAGGCCAATCCAACGTGGTTGGCGAACAGTGTGTGTACCCAACCAGTCCGTGCCATTCAGCTCCATTTTTGAGCTACTTGGCCGAGGAGTGCCCCGTGGAAGAGCTGTACACATTGACACGCCGATAGGCCAGGACGGATGTGTGAGGCTCCATTCAGGAAAGGTCATTATCGTCAGTTTTGTACGAACAGACGGTGACCACCAGCGCCCCAGTGCGCCGGGTACTGGTGAGCTCGCCAGTTCCGCCTCCGAGTATGGAGGCAATGATGGGTCCGAGGCACCTGAGCCTCCTGACCGCGCCGGCGACAGAGTGATTTCCGAGAGTGGCCAACCTACTGACTCCGCCGCTACGACCAACGGCCTTGTAGAGGTGCCTTTCTTGATCTTCGCGCAGGACTACTGGCCTGAACTTGTGCTGCCACGGCTCTCTACCGCTTGTGGACAGGCGGAGGCCCTTGAGACTGTTGCCCAAATACGCCAAGCAGATGCCCAACGACGCAGTCCGCGCCTTGTTGGGGTCTTTCCGCAACCCCTTTCCCGACAGGCTTGCCTACTTGCCTTGCCAAGGTGGGCATATGCAGGCGTTGCGGTGCTGATAGATAATCAGGTCCACCCCAAAGGGATCTTTGCCAACATTGTCCTAGCAAAATGCACGAGAGCCGACATTTTGACTCTTGCCGCGCTCCCCCCTGAAGACGCTGGCCTATATGTCTTTGTGAAAGACGTACCATGGGCCATCCCATCAGACACCGAGGTGTACCCGGCGGAGGGTGATCTCCTCACCATATGCAATACTCTGTCAGCCCCAGCGGCGTTGGACCTACGGGGACTGCTCTATTACAGCAGGCACTGGGACTGCAATCCTACCCTCCCAGGGGACCAGCTAGATGTCAACTGGGTCCTTGCCAACGGCCCATGCCGTGCCGCTGCTGTCCCTGCTGATGCTTTTGCCGCAGACAGTGCTGCTACCGCAGAGGCAATTGGTCTGACCTCCGGAAGCTTCACTCTGATCCCGTCATCACCACCTGTCTCTGACCATGCTTGGCGGGGACAAGCATGCCATAACGTCTTTCTGGCATGTGAGACAACCGATCTCCAGGGAAGGCAATCGGAAAGTGGAGGACTGGCGCCTTATACTCTTAACCTGCGACCAATCCTCCTCTATGTAACATGGGGACTTGCCCAGTCAGGCAGAGTTGACGTGCTTGAGCTTTGTCAAAGACTCACTCCGCGCTGCCCCACGGATCACCATATTCGAATCTATGGAGGGGAGGCCGAACGAGCCACAGATAATCATTTCCGCGCAGTTCGGGCTGGCACTGTACTTCGTGCTGAGTTTCAGCCGAACTACCTCAATGTCATTGTACTTCCAGAAACCGAACGTGCCTACGTTTTCACACCATCTGCGCGCCATGATGCGCCTGCTCCCACAATTGACGATGGGCCCCAGGCATCGAGCTCAACACCAGGCGGCTCCACTGCAGTGACCACCAGTACACCGATTCTCCGAGGAGGAACATCGCGAACATGTGCTGGTAACCATGGGATCCACCTGTCGAAGGACTCTATACGAGTTCCATTGGAGAAGACGACGTACATGTGTCCTGAAACTATTCGAGATGAAAACGCCATCCGTAATGGCACAGTTTCGGATACCCCTGTTTTCCGTCTTTTCCCTAGCACAACCCAGCAGGATCTCCTAGATGACTGCCGTCCAGCTCACTCCACACGACCCGCTGTGCAGCGAGCCCTCGGAACAGTTACTTCCGTGGCCGAGCATACCCTCCCTGCGCTGTTCGCGCTTGCTGTCCTCTACTTTGCTCTTCATTGTGCTGCGGATCAGAGGTCCAGGGTATGGGATCCACCGATTCTGCTCGCTATCTGCAGCGCGGGCTGGCCACACAGCTCCAGGCGACCAACCAGATTTCTCCTTGTTTGGGGATTTGCTTGTTATGCCGTTGGACAAGCTGCTGCTGTGCAACTCCCATTCCAAGCTTCGATTATCACAAACAGAGCTGACATTGAGCTGCCCACCATGAAATCCGTGCATCATTTCCCGCCTGCCCGAAGCCACAGGCCTACCCCCACGCCTGCCCGATCCAACCGTCTTCCAGGCCATGACCTGGGCCTGGACTGGAATGATGTGCACGAGTGCGAAGTGAATACCCTTGTCACCTTGCTTGATGAATCCATCTTGCAGCCTGAGTCCGAGGTTCTATACCTCTCCAGTACTCTCGTCGAGACGCTCCAGGAACATTTTGCAGAAGGCGTCACTAGCCTTTCGCAGAGGCAGAGCACACAGCCATCCCGCGAGGTACCTATTGTGCGCCTAGCCCCCCATGTAGGCCCGAGGTCATTTGATCTAACTGGGATCAACATGCGGATAGGGTGCACCTTGGACCATATTGCGCAGTTGCTCCACCACGCACCATGTCCACTGTGGCCACTCCCTGAGCAACACTCTGGAGTCATTGCAGAATGGAGGTGTGCAAATCCTGATCTCGACGCGAAGCTCGCAGTCGGCGAGTGTAGTGCTGTCATTGTTTATACCGATGGATCCTTTGATGGACTGCATAGTTCGTGGGCTTTCCATGCGACTGCGCTTTTTGCTGACGGTTGGCATAATCTTGGCTGGATAGGAGACCGTGTTCAGCTCGGTTCCGATGAGCCCACATTCATTGGAGCGCTTTCTCATGGCGCGTTAGAGGGAGAGTTGTCCGCTCTGTTTTGGTGCCTGACTTGGCTTCTTGCCTTTCCGGCCGCAACCGAAGTCACAATTTACTCCGACTGCACAACGGCCATCGGCCTAACGAGCGGCTCCATTGGCCAATTTCGGGGGCATGACATTGCACACCTTTGCCGTGCTGTAATGCAAGCTTTACAAGCGGCTAAGGGACCGACACCGGCCGCTCTCCATCACATCCGCTCCCACATAGGCCATCTAGGCAATGAGGTCGCGGACCGTCTTGCCAAGCTATGTTGTGGACCTGCTTCGAGTGGCAGAGCGTGGTCCTCACACCCAATCTGCACCTTTGTGCGCAGGGGCTGGATGCCTTGGCTGTGGCTCTTTCTTGATGCGAACGCTAATCCGCACGAGTGGCCGATACAGCTTGCCGATTCCTTCATTGATCAGCCCAGTACAGAGATTGAGCTGCCCACCCGCCGCGAATGCGAACAGATGCTGGGCCTGTCTGCCCCAGTTGAGCCTTCCTCCCACAAGCAATGGTCCATCATTGACGCTGTTCTTCTGACCGTCAACGTGCAGTCCTTGCATCCGAAAGAGGTCGCTCCAGGGCAAGACTCACCCGCTGCCCCCTTTCACGGGCGTGCGGCCCTTCTCCGCGAGCAGTTTGTCGAGTATGGCGTTTGCATTGCGGCCCTTCAGGAGACACGTGCGCCGCGAAACGAGACCATACAGTCAAAGACTCACATTAGATTCTGTAGCGCGTGTGACGAACAGGGCTCCTATGGTGTTGAACTTTGGTTCTCACGCACAGTGCCCTTCATGCAACACCCATCCGCGGAGATTGCCTTTCAGGTTAGTGACTTTGTTGTGGTCCACTGGGACCCCCGTATCCTCGCTGTGCGGTTCGCACGGGCCTGCGTCCGGCTGCTGTTTGTTGTCATTCACGCACCGACGAACTCGTCACCTGAACGTAACAAATGGTGGCATGACTTCCGTGGCCTTGTCTGCCGCCTCAAACAGGATGCGCAGCTGATCCTTCTGGGAGACTTCAACTTGCATCTTGATAGGCCGCATGCCAATCGCATCGGAGAACTTACGTGGCATTCCCCTGTTCCCCCACCGCAGATCTTCTACCGGCTTCTGGAGGACGCCGACCAGTGGATCCTTTTCATGTTGTCATCCGGGCCCGACGGACACCTGGCGGTCCCCAGGAGGCAATACGAGTTCCCGTCTCGACTACGTTTCAGTACCATCTACTTGGAGTGTTGTCACAGGGGACAGTTATGTCCTCCACGAGCTTGAATGGGGGCAGTCAAGGGTCGACCACTTTGCCCTAGTCACACGTGCGCGGGCCCACATCCTCTTGGAGACCCCAAGGCAAGGCAGGCAGAACCGCATAGATACACATGCCATCAGGACGCCTGAGGGCCGGGCGAAACTCCAGCAGATTTGCCTGTCCCTGCCACAACAACCATGGGATATGGACGTACATCGCCATGCTGCCAAAATCGAAGAGCATTTTCGTACATTGCTGCCGGTGGCCTTCCCCACCCAGAGAGCCCGCCAGCAGAAAACGTACTTTACGCCGGTGACCTGGCAGCTACGCAATCACCGAGCATGGCTGCGCAAACGCATACATGCTGCTTCGGGCTTTGGCCAGAATTTCTCCCTGGCATGTGCTTGGAGATCCTTGAAAACTCTTTGCCACATCTGGTCCCCCTGCCCCAAATTATGGAGTAGGTGGCTGCGTGCCTTGCATGACGCCCCAGGACATCTGTCCGCTTTGCGCCACACCAGTGGACAGTTGCGGTCAGCGATTCGCAGAGACACCAAGGCATATCTCCATGACATCGCCGTCAAGGCCACGCAAGACCCCACGAAGGACACCGTGCAGCGCCTGCGGATGCTCACAGGAGGACCTAGAAGGAAACAGAAGGGGAATCGTCCACTACCTGCCGTTGAAGTCTCCCCAGGGACCTTGGCATCCACTCACCGAGAGGCCAAGCAGAAATGGATTGCGCATTTCTCTGCAATCGAGGATGGCCATGTGCAGGACCCAATGGAGTTTGTCCACGGCTGCTATCAGCGACAACAGGGGAAAGACCTGTCCGACTACTCCATTGACCCCACCGACATTCCGAGTCTGCACGAGCTAGAGTCTGCACTTCGCTCAGCAAGCACAGACAGGGCCTACGGACTCGATGGGATCCCTGGGGAAGTATTGCACTATGGAGGACCCTACATAGCCAAGGTCGTATACCAACTCCTGCTTAAGTCTGCGTTCCGCCTCTGCGAGCCAATCCAGCACAAGGGAGGCACGTTATACTTTATCTGGAAGCACAAGGGACCCAAACAATGCTGCAGCTCCTATAGGGGTATTCTAGTGTCTTCGGTTATCGGAAAGGCGCTGCATAAGACCGTCCGTAACCGTTGTGCCGCTCCCCTTGCCAACAGCACGGTGCCCTTACAGGTCGGAGGGCTCCCACAGTACCCGGTCACGGTGCCGGCCCACGCAGCTCGCCTGTTTCAGTCAGGCTGTCAGTCGAGACGAAGATCACATGCTATCCTTTTCCTGGATCTGCAGGAGGCTTTCTACCGCATTATCCGCCCACTCATTACGGGAGATCACCCGTCCGACTCCGAGGTTGCGCGCATATGCGCAGCCGTTCAACTCCCTAGCGGCACCATGCATGAGCTCCGGGAATTCCTTGGAGGCCCTTCACTCCTGAGAGCTGCCGGATCAAGCGCATGGGCAGATGGAGCTGTTGCTGAGTCGTTGCATGACACGTGGTTCCGACTGCCAGACGAGCCGGAAGTTGTTGTCACACGCACAGGCTCCCGCCCGGGAGACTCGCTCTCGGACATGGTCTTCTCGTTTCTTTTTGCAAAGGTCCTACAGCAGGTTCGAGGGGCCCTTGAGCGAGCCGAACTTCTTGCACACATCCCTTGGAGTCCACATATGTGCAACCGCATCCAACCCCTTGACTTTGACCCCCCTCAACAACTTGGATTGTCGGATGCAACATGGATGGATGACCTTTCCATGTTCCTCATGGGAGAGGATGCACCTTCTTTGACCAAGGCCCTTGGCTTTGGCACGTCCTCCCTCATTGACGCTTGCCTCCAGAGGGCGTTGGTGCCCAACCTTTCCAAGGGCAAAACGGAGGCCATCGTTCAGCTCCATGGGAAAGGAGCAAAGAGTGAACGCCGTCGCATTTTTGGAGAGGATGATGGAACCTTGCCCCTCTCATGCAGGCTCTGGCAGGGAGCTAAGCTGCGGGTCGTTCCAGTTTATAGGCACCTGGGTGGTTTCCTCCAACATAATGGTGGTCTTAGACATGAGATTGCCTTCAGATGTGCACAGGCATGGGACGCCTTCAACAAGCGCAGACGGAAGGTGTTTCAGTCGCCCCTCGTCTCATCGGCTGACAAGGCAATCCTCTTTGACAGTCTGATTTCAACTGTCATGTTCCATGGGTCTGGAACCTGGACCAGAATTACACAGCAGCACATTGACTCGCTTGACGCTGTCTTAAGACAAATGGCGTGCCAGATGTTAATACCAGCTTACTCTTGCGAGGATGCGTGGCATCTTGGGACAGCTTTAGCCATCGCCAAAGCTGGAATTCCACGCGCAGCTACGTATCTGCACGCATTTCGGCTGCGGTACCTTCTGTCATGCATTCGGCTTGAGATTCCAGAAATCTGGGCCCTGGCGCATTGGGAGGTTGAATGGCTCGGGCTGGTTAGATCATCAGTGCAATGGATGTGGGAACATACGGAAACTTCCGGTGACCGGCCCAGCGATGGGCCTTCCTGGGAGACATGGGTAAGTGAGTGCCGCACCTCCCCTCGAAAGTGGAAGTCCCGCGTGCGCCGTGCCATATTGCATGCCATTCACATTGAACGATGCCAGTCTGATTACGACTACCACTGTGGCCTCCTGTGCAAGCAGCTCTGCTTGATCGGGGCCTGCCCCCCGACAACCAGCCCCCGTACCGACACCAGGTGCGAGATTTGTGCGCCTTGCCAGCTTGGTTTTCACGACCTAAGGGCCTGGTCCGTACATGCCTTCAAGAAACATGGAAGAGTTGATGAGGTGAGATACATCACCGAGGGCACCCAGTGCCCGCACTGCCTTCGACACTACGCGACCAACGTGCGCCTCTGCCGACATGTGCGCCATTCCTCAGCTTGCAGGCGGGCACTCCTAAACCAGCCAGTACGTTTTCGGCCAGAGCCAGGAGTAGGCAGCCTCAAGGCCCCGAAGGAACACCTGCACTGCGCTCCAACCCTGCAGGCCTCAGGCCCCTCCCAGCCCGCTCTCAACGGACCCATTAATGATGAAATGGAGCGTCCGTCGGCCGAACTCCTCGAGTGCCTCTCACATATTGATTATGATTCCAGGGCCGCCGAGATACCCGAGGAGGAGTTTTGGGAACGCATCCGGCTTTCCTTCTCTTCCGTTTGCCTCCCGATGCGGAGGCTTCACATCACCCTTGAGGTATGGGACCGCTCGATGCAGCAGGGACAGCATATGCACTCCCTCGCCGTGAGCAACCGCGTCCGTGACGCACTGCTGTGGCTTCGTTCGGCCGACCTTGCCAGCTGGCTGATCCAGGACCCGCGTGCCAAGAAGGGGAAAGGGGACCTGATCCACTTAGGGTACACTGCCCTTCCGTCCCTATCTCTTCTTACGGCTGCACTTCCTGAGCCGGCCCCGTGGACCCAAGATCATGCCTTGGTCGTTGTTGGTGATATTGCGGCGAGGCTCCCAAATCTCCCCTTGTCTTCCCGCATGAGGAGTCCTTGTGCAGACTGGGGCAGGGTCTGCCATTGGATTTCTTGGAGACCCCTGACGAGGCTTGTGGATTTTGCCTCAGCATTGTCGGTCTGTGCCAGATTTCTGACACCAAGTCATGCCCGGCCTCTGTACGAGCTCGGTCTTCCTCATCCCTTCACTTAGCAGGGGACATCACGAGACTTGCCCTTCAACTTTGGTCCAAGGGTGTCAGAACATGCCTGACTGCTTCAAAGGGAGCGGGCATCGATATCGACATTTTGTCGCAGCTCAAGGACATTCGTTCCTTTGAGCATGCTGGACTCGTCACATTGTGGACAGGAACAGTTGACGAGCCAGCATTGTTGTTTCACCAGTGCAATTAATCTGCAAGCTTAAAGGGCTGCGTCGAACACGACCCCAGGCCCGAAAGAGTGGAAAGAGTGGATATATATATATATATGTCATCACCAGTAGGATGCAAGGTTCAAGAATCTGAGAGTGTTGCGATGGGGTTAAGGTTACACAGGAGTGGTAGATAGTAAATCCCAAACCTGAGAAATCTCCAACCTGTGTTCCCCCAATGCCCCGTCGACATGGGAGTTTCCGAAATTAGGGTACCCTATTTTGGGCCCTTATAATAAGGATCCTATTATTTAGGGTACTATATTAGGGTCCCCTATTTTCCGAAACTCCCACATTGGAACGCTACTTTGACCAGTGGATTTTCATGGTCTCGGGCATTGCGCGGCTGCTACTTTCTACAAACCCCTGTTTCCCGCATTGGTCATGGCACCCACCAGCCCAAAGCCTAAGCCCTAAATCCCAAACCCTGGCATCTTTGGAGACAAACACAGGTCCTGGACGACCCCACTACCATTGCTACTGGTTTCAGCCTTGTAGTAACTACCGGCATCTTTTTAGGAACCCTAAACCCTAAACCCGAAAATCCTCAACGCCTAAACCCTAAACGCCTAAACCCTAAACCCCAAAACCCTAAACCCCAAAACCCTAAACGCCAAAACCCTAAACCCCTAAACCCTAAACCCGAAACCCTAAACGCCTTAACCCCTACACCCCTAAACCCCTAAACCCTAAACCACCTCTTACCTCGAAAGCCGGAACCCGAAGACCAACACCCTCAACAACCTTGGTTTTTTCTTAAAAGCCTGAACACTGAACACCTACATAATATAGGGACTTTAATAAGTAGAATAGGGTTTTGGGGCTCCTTTAAAGTGTTATAGTGCTGCTATAAGGGTGTAGGGTATAGGGGCCTTAATCATTAGAATAGGGTTTTGGTGTACATTATACTATAACTTCTTAAAAGGAACCGCCCAAAATAGTATTGGTAATGACTTAGGCCCCTATATTACACACGCTTTCAGCTCTTGCTGGCTTGACGGTGACGCTGCGCATGAGAAGCAGCTGAAACAGAAGTGTGCAGGATTCAATCGGGTGAAGGTCTCGGGCCTAGCGTCTAGGGGTTTAGGGTTTAGGGTCAGTGTAGGGTTAAGGGTTTAGGGTTTAGGGAGATTAGAGAACGGCGTTTCATTAGAAGGCTTCGCCGCAAGCAATGGAGCTAAAGTTTTCCTACCAAAAACTAACTAACCGTACACCCTAAGCCCACCATACCCAAGACCCTAAACCCTAAAACCAATGCCCCATAATATAGAAGCCTAATCCCAAAACCCTACTCTAATTATTAAGGGCCCTATAGTATGCATGGGGCCCATGAATATAAGTATAATAAGGATCCCCCCCCAAATAGTATATCTTACTTATTTAAACCCCTATATTAGGCCCCATACCCTCAAGAAGAGGCTATAGTAGCCCTTATAGAACCCTCTAAGGAACGCTTCAAAGGAGCCCCCAAACCCTATTCTAATTCTTAAGGCCCCCAAACCCTAAACCCTAAACCCCTAATCCCTAAACCCTAGATCCTAAACCCTAAGCCCCTAAACCTTAAACCCTAAACCCCTAAACCGCTACATTACCCTAAAGAAGACGGTCCTTGTTGAAGCGAACAGCCTTCGGCTCCGCTCTGCCTTGGCTGGGGGGGAAGCTTCGAGCTTCGGAAACCTGCTTTATTGGGCCTTGATGTATAAAAATTAGGGGTTTAGGGCTTTAGGGTTTAGGGTTAAGGGGTTTAGGGCTTTAGGGGTTTAGGGTTAAGGGGTTTAGGGGTTTAGGGTTTGGGTTTTATGGTTTAAGGTTTTAGGGTTTAGGATCTAGGGCTTAGAGTTTAGGGTTTAGTTTAGGGTATACCATAGTACAGATAGTATTGTAATTTATAGTATGTTGTAACATAACAGCAATAGAGAAGATTAGAATATGATGCAATGCAACACAATATGTGATAATCGAAGTATGGTAAAGTGAAGCTTGGTAGCGCGTAATAGTAAAACTCAATGAAATACAATGCGATAGGCTTCTGGCATATCTATAGGTTCACGGGATCGCACGGCTTAAGAACCCAGACCCGCAGGAGGATCCAAAAAGTATATCCCTTAAGGGGGTTCCAACAAAAGTACCCTTGAGTAGTTCGGGTCCCAAATTGGGGGATCTACTTTTCTCCCGGGGGTCTGGGAATGAATTCGTTCTGATAGCTTGACTCAGGGCTCAGGGTTGTGGGCTTCTCGGGCCGCTGGGATTTAGGTTTAAAGCGGTTGAACTGGGCTTTTAGCGCTTCAGGGCTTAGGGTTTAGGGCTTAACGTTTAGGGTTTAGGGTTTAGGGCCCCTGACATGGACCCTTTAGGGTTCGAACAAGGCTTGTAGGGTGTAGATTTTACATATTAGGCCTTTTGGGGCCGGCTTCAGTTCGACTTCCAGCCCGCCAGACCTCACAACGGGTCAGACAAAATCGAAAATACAGAAAGGTGTCGTGCGATATTACGGGTTTAAGGCACTGTGACTTTGAAGACTCTTTCTCTTGGATCGTTCAGGCATGTGGGTTGTTCGGGACGTCTCTAATGACATCAATGACATGCACAGAATCGCTATGACCCTACAGAACCCCCTAAACCCTAAACCCTAAACCTTAAACCCTAAACCCTAAACCCTAAACCCTCAACCCCCGCCCCCCCCTAAACCCTAAACCCTCAACCGACCCCCAGTGTAAGGACCCCTGAATAAGGGACCTTTCCAAGCACGAAACCCCATGATGCTAGCCGGCTGCTGGCAACACTACTTGGAGCTTCTATGCTTGAGATCCCCTTAAGAGTGTGGGTAGGGTTTAGGATATTTAGGGTTTGTATTATACCCAGAGACTCCAATACCCCTTAATTAAGGAATAGACCTTAAATTATAGTAGGATCCCTAATAAGATTTAAGGCAAATTCCTTAATTAAGGGGTATTGGAGTCTCTGGGTAGAAGCCTGGATAATTACCAACATCATTCCGGAGGGATCCTTGGTATAAGTGTACGTTAAAGGAGCCCGAAGCCCTATTCTGATCATTAAGGCCCCCCACATATCTGAACATCAGCTACTCCTAGTGTTGGGGCTGGAGGTCTTGTACAGCTCTTGGCAAGTCGGTTGCATGAACGTTCTCCGCGTTGTCCTTCAACGCCAAGTTGAACCTGGGTGCCGCTTAGCCCTAAGTATAAAAAAGAACCCTGGAGATAGTATTACTACCTAAACCCTAAACCCTAAACCATAAACCCTAAACCCTATTAGATTGACAGGCTTCTACCGGCTTCTACATTACCGTCTTCAGTCACCTCATCCTCCAGGTGCCCTGCAGGTGTGATCAGGGCCCTAACTGAAGAGTCCCGGCTGAGACCAGGTTGGGAAAGCCGTCGTTGACCTTTGAGACTAAACTCCCTGTCCCGAACAGGACTGTTGGGGTTTTCCGGTTCCTTATCCTGACAGCATGTTGATAGGAGTTGTGGTAAAAGTTAATAACGATGCGGAAGTTGCAGCAGTACCCACAAGAGTACGAAGGCCAGTAAGAAGCTGTACAGCTGGTCATACTAAGATGTTTATTTCCTAAACTCACAGCAAACACTATGTAGTCCTACCAAGACCCTTGGAAAGATCTATGACAAGGACCCTTGCCTATCTCTACCTTATGCAATATGAGAGTGTGACTCTTTGCGGTCTTTTCATGGTTCGAGTCCTTCGTTCAGGGCAAAGCAAGCCTCCAAAACCCGTCTTAGAACCCTACTAAGGGTTTAGGGCTTAGGGTTACTATGGAAGTTCTAAAGGAAGGAACCCCCCTAAATCCTAAACCCTGAAAGGAACCCGTTGCAGAAAAATAGTCGGAGCCCTTGCGGGGACCCCAAAACCCGATTCAGATTGGTCTAGGTGCCTGTCTGAAACCCTTAGTGGGGTTCCCTTAAAGTAGCCCTTGATGGAAACCCCTCATTTTCCTAGGGTTCCTTTAAATTAGCCCTTCTAGAAACCCCTCAATCTTTGGGGGGTTCCCTTAAAGTAGCCCCTGATCAACCCTTCATTTTTTAGGGGTTCCCTTGAATTAGCCCTTGTAGAAACCGCTCAATCTTTGGGTGGTTGCCCTTAAAGTAGCCTTTGATAGAAACCATTCATTTCTCAGGTTCCCTTAAAGTAGCCCTGGATAGGCACTCCTTGATTTTAGGGGGTTCCTGTAAAGTACCTTACACCCTAAAACTTTTAAACCCTAAAACCCTAAACTCTAAAACCCTAAAGCCCTAAAACCCCAAACCCTAAAACCCTAGAGACCTAAAACCCCAAACCCTAAAACCCTAAAGCCCTAAATCCCTAAAACCTCTAAAACCCTAAAGCCCTAAACCCTTCCTTGTTCCTTTAAGGGAAAGCGCTGATATCGACTCCAGGAGGCTGCGTGAAGGTGCTGAAGAGCTTCGGGGGCCTCGGATGGGGAATCCAAGGTCAGAGTAGTTAGGGCTTTCGGTTTAGGGATGAGGGCTTTATGGCTAAGGGTTTGGGGTTTAGTGTTTTAGGGTTTAGGGTTTTGGGGTTTTAGGGTTTAGGGTCTAGGGTTGGAGGATCATGGGACTTAGTAAGTAAGGTTATAAGTCCCCTAATTGGGGTTATAAGTATAGTTACCTTAGGTATAACCCTACTTACTAAGTCCCATGATCCTTTAAGTAGAGGTATGGGGCCCCTAATATGGGCCCTTAGGGGGATTCTAGGGTCCCTTCAGGGTACAGATAGGGTATATTGTAGGTATATAAGGGTCCCCTAAACCCTCAACCCTAAACCCTAAACCCTAAACCGTTAAGGGCCAATACCTGGGGCCCATGGGTTTAACCTTAGAGATGGGGAAGGGCTCACCACGGGCTCTTTTCGGGCTTTGGGGTTTAGGGTCTGCGTTTTGTGTTTCGAGGGTTTAGGGTTTGCGTTTCGAGTTTCGGGGGGTTTAGGGTTTGTGTTTCGGGTTTCGGGG